GCCGAAGAGCTATGTGGCAATGAAATTACATTACATAAAAACAAAATTGGCGAGATGCATGGAGTTTTTTCATTCATTCCATTTTTAATAGGATAAATTTTTTCCCAAAACTTATCAATATCCAGATCGCTGGAAATATCAAGATCACTTAGCTTCAGTAAATTCCACTGCGTGGTTATTATATCAGGATCGCAATCTATGAGATAGGAAAACTTTAACAAAAGAGGTAAAATTGGTAAAACTTCTTAGAGAAACATCAAATTCAACTATCCGACCAAAATCTTACTTTGCCTTCCAACCTACCAAACGAAAAAGAAGCGACCAAAATGTGGTCGGAAAAGACCAATAGTGGCAACACTGACCACAACTCTTTCGCTCACAACAACCAGCGTCGACGGCAACTCATAATTTTATTAATTTTTTTTGCTCTAATGACTAATTTTTTCGCACACAAAACGATAAAGCAGCGATGACTGTATATGCACATATGTACTTAGTATTTTTAGTTATAGATATTTTTATGAAACACACACACATAGCTACGTACATATATATCTTACATAGTCTTCATTTGGCTGCATTGAAAATTAAAATCATAAAAGCAAAATATCAACTAAGGGGACACCCGGGTTTGAACCGGGGACCTCTCGATCTGCTCTACCACTCATTTGATCTAATACATACATATGTACATATGTATCGACCGTACCACGATCTATGAGCCAAAATAATTTGAAAACAATGAGTGTATACATTAGGAAGGTCCAAAAACAGTAAAGTCGGAATTGTAATGCTCTCACCCCCTAGGAGTGTTCTATATCGCAAAAATTATGCCCCGTGTTTTTTTATTATTTTGATATGGGAAAAAACAACTTTTCGTAGAAATGGTATAGAATTCTAAAAAATCAATATTTTTCGATCGGAAACTCTGGTTCTCTTCAAGAGACTTTCAATAATAATACCCAATTGTCTATTTAGCCATTTTTTAATACCAACGATTTTTAATTGGTCGCCCCATTGCATTTTTCGGGGTTTTTGGCGGCCCTATATATTATAGTTGCAATGAAAAAATGGCTAAATAAACAATTGGGTATTGTTATTGGGAATCTCCTGCAGATAAACAGAGTTTTCTGTTAGAAAAATATTGATTTTTAACTATTTTATACCATTTCTACGAAAAGTTGTTTTTTCTCCATATAAAATACATGGAAAACTTTGGGCGCTTTGAGTGGCCTCTAAATATTTTTCGATTTCAAAATAAAAAATACGGGTACATTTTTTCGGTATAGAACAATCCTAGGGGGTGAGAGCATAAAAATTCCGACTTTACTTTTTCACATGCATTTTTGGACCACCCTTATATACATACATATAGAGCTGACTATTACCATATCTCACAAACTTCGCAAATATACTTTTAAGCTTCTTACTATTGATTAGAGGGTTTTGTTTTCGGGAAAAAATTATAACTTTTTAATTTGACATCATAGAATAATCTTTTCTGGAGGAAGTATGTAGGTTTTTTTTTAATAAAGAAGCTATAGAAAAAAACGATTTAGATCTTTTTACAGGTGGCCTAAAAACCAGTTTTTACACTCCTGAAATAATCTCATTGTGTGTGTTCAAAATCACTTTAAAAAAATTTAAATTCTCTTGTGATACGGTCTAATGTACAGACAACAAGCAAGTATTTTATTTCATATTTTGCAAGTCACAATGAAAGGGAGATAAAAAGTTTAGCGCCTTTTGAACTTTTTCACTTTGCATGCAATTTTTCTCCATCTTTATTGAATTAAATTTTTTATGTTTTGGTTAAACACAAACCATGTTTTCACGCTCAGTTCTGACTTGCGTTTTAACGTGAAAATGCAAGTACATATTTACATACATATGTATATACGGAGGTGCAAATGTAAATAGGTAAGCGACATTTTCCTTTATTTAAAAATGTTTATTGTTGTATCAAGAAAATATAGCTTACTATCTAAAAAAAAATCATGTAAATCAAAATTTCAAACTTTGTAGGAATTTATAAAAATTCGACGAATTTTAACAAATGCTCATCAAAATTTGAAACTTTTTAAGCAGTTTTTTTTTAATTTTTTTTAGTAAGAAATCTAATTAAAAAGCTCAAAATTTCTATTAAACTTTGTCGAATTTCCGCAATTTTTGTACAACCTTTGAAATTTTGACCTTCATGTTTTTTTTTTAGATAAGTGGAGCTACACTTTTATAAAAGAGGGCTAAAATATCTTCTTTATTTATATTTAAGCCACTTCTATGCTCTGTGTGTATACGAAATTTCCGGGCTTTCTTTGGTCTATGTGCTTTTTACAGATTTGTTTGCATGTCGAAACTTTTAACTTCTTCATCATTCATTTGCAACAATATTGGCTTGCATTTTGAAACATTTTTATTTCGCTCTCCGCTGCAAGTACATACATACATA